CAGCCCCAATTGCTCGTATCACAACTGGGACTACTACTGCCTTCACTTTCCACATCCTTTCTAGTTCTTCTTTCAGTCCTTGGTATGTGTCCACTTTCTCATTGTTCCTTCTTCCTGATGTTATAGTCACTGGGTATTGCCACATCCACTACAACTGCAGTCTTTCGTTCCTTGTCTACCACCCCAATGTCTACAACACTTGTTTGTCTGTCTGGATCTTGAAGTCTTAACATCTCCCATCTGGACTTAGGCAGGTCCAATCCATATTCTGTGCAGATGTTTCTGTAGACAATCCCAGCAACTTGGTTGTGTCTCTCCGTGTATGCTGTTCCTGCTAACATCTTGCATCCGGCTACTAGGTGCTGGACTGTCTCAGAGGCCTCTTTGCATGGTCTGCACCTTGGGTCTTGCTTGGTGTGGTAGACTCCAGTTTCTATTGAACTGGTGCTGCTAGGATTAGTGCCTCAGTGCTGTCTTTCAGTCCTGCTTTTTCCAACCACTGGTAGGATTTTGTCATGTGAGCCACATCCACTATCTGCCGGTGGTACACACCATGGAGAGGTTTGTCTTGCCAAGGAACCTCCTCTTTCTCTGCATCCTCGATTTGTGGAAGTCCCAGGCATTCCCTTAGCAGTTCATCTCTGGGAGCCTTCTTCGTGATGTACTTGTGCATGATCTGTGTTTCATCCAGGACTGTGGCCTTGACACTCATCAGGCCCTGAACTCCTTCCTTCCGGCAGGTGTACAGTCTTATGGTGCTGAATTTCAGGTGGAATCCTCCATTCACATTGAGTAGTTTTTTGGTCTTGACATCCATGGTGACCAGTTTTTCTCTTGGCCAGGTTATTATTCCAGCTGGGTACCTAATGACTGGTAGGGCATATGTGTTGATGGCTTGGATCTTGTTCTTGCCATTGAGATGGGACTTCAGGACCTGTCTGACTCTTTGGAGGTACTTGGATGTTGCTATCCTCCTTGCCTCTTCCTCGTGGTTGCCATGTGTTTGTTGTACTTGTAGCTGTTTTCTACATCTTCTATTTGGCCTTTTGGAACTTCAACTCCTTCTGTCCTGATCATCTTCCCTCTTTTTGCTCTCATCCGCCTGCACTTTTTTAGTCCGAATGACAATCCGATGTCCTTGCTGTATATCCTAGTTAGGTGGATCAGTGAGTCAATGTCCTGCTTATTCTTGGCATACAGCTTGATGTCATCCATGTAGAGTAGGTGGCTAATGTTAGCTCGACTCTTGAACCTGTATCCGTATCCACTCTGATCTGGCTAAGGGGGTTGAGGCCTATGCAGAACAGCATTGGGGATAGTGCATCACCTTGGTATATGCCACATTTGATGTTCACTTGAGTTATTGTCCTGGAATTGGCTTCTAGAGTTGTTTTCCACTTGCACATCGAGTTCTTGATAAAGGCTCTTTTTGTCTTGCTGACCTTGTGGAGAGCCAAGCATTCCAATATCCATGTGTGTGGCATTGTGTCATAGGCTTTCTTGTAGTCAATCCAAGCCATACACAGATTGGTCTGTCTGGTCTTAGAATCCCATGTGACTGCTTGGTCTACCAGTAGTTGGTGTTTTGATCCTCTGGTGTTGTTTCCAATACCCTTCTGAGTATTTCATATATATTGACTCATATGCCCTTGGATCTTAAAGGCTATGATTCCTGACAGGAGTTTCCATGTTGTGGCATATATGAGCCTGTTTCTGTGATGGTGCAGGATGGGATCGTGGACAATGCTTCATTAACTGTAGCTAGTATTCTGTCTGGTGGTTGCTTTCCAGTGATCTTTGGTAGTCTTGTCCGCAGGTTAATGACTGCTTGTACACACAAACAGTAATTGTATATATTAAAATATATATATTAATACAATTAAATTAATAAATACATTAAATAAATTAATTAAATAATATATTTTTTTAAATTTGTATATATATGCAATTTCATTCTAAAATTATTTTGATGAATATGTATATACACACTATATTGTTATTAAAATACACTTAGAATGCAATAATATATATATATATATATATATATATATATATATATATATATTACACATGTGCAATTCGTTTCAGTCCGAATTAAAATTTGGACGAATTTCGACAATTCAGACATTTGGATGCTTCCAAATGTCCGAAGTGCCGAATTTCTAAAGTACCGAATTTTGGAAGTGCCAAACCGAATCGAATTTCGGAAGTGCCAAATTTAGTAAGTGCCGATCCGAACCGAATTGCCGAATTCAGATTTCTGAAAAGTGGCAAAACAGGAAAGGGAGGTAAAACTAAGGGAATGATGACAGAAATCTAACCCTAGCCCTAACCCTATGCCTACCCCTAACCCTACCCCTAATCTTTACCCCAACCTTCCTATAACCCTAACGCTTGCCCTAACCCTAGTAGGGGTAGGGTTAGGGTTAGGAGTAGGGTTAGGGGTAGGGTTATGGCTGGGGTTAGGGGTAGGGTTATGGAATTGCCGAAGTCTCAAATTCCTGAAGTCCCGAATTTTGGAAGTGCCGAACGGAACGGCCGAAGTGCCGAATTGCTGAAGTCATGAATTTCGGAAGTGCACTAACTGCTGCCGGTCTTGTTTATGCCTCGGTGCAATCTCCGGCCTTTGTATACAATGTCTTGATGGAGAGCACTCACAGGACTCCAGAATATTTAAAAAGTGCTTTTTATTTCAGCAATCAATGTTCAATGTATATGTATAATGATAAATAAAAAATATATACATATATATATATATAATTACATAAATATACACATAGTATTTAAATACATATATATGAAGATATATTTACATTTTACGTTTGTATTTATGTAATCTTTTAACATAATTAAGTCATTTTTATTCATTATAATTTGAGGGACCAGCCTGACAAGCCAGGCAACAAGTCAAGAGAATTTAATTTGCAAGTCCTATGTTTATCCCTGTAACTTTCCAAAACACCATGAAACCTGGACATGGGGGTTACTATTGTACTTGGGAGACTTTGCAAAATACAAATATGAGTGTTATAAAACAGTAAAACGTATCATGAGGATGATATCACCAGTAAAAGTGCAATTTTTGTGTAATAAATGCAAAAAACAAACATGAACGATAACTTTGGCCAGTGTTTGTGACTAAATGGCTACTAAAAAACACTGGACATATCCCCTTTTGAATACCTTGTGTTGTACACTTTACCAAATGGTATGCCATGGTGGGGTTAATTTTCATTTCTGAACTGCCATACCGTCTAAAAGGCAACATAGCCAATCTGACAAATTTCAATTTACAAGAACAGAAATTGGCAAGTCTTATATTTGACCATGTAACTTTCCAAAACACCATAAAACCTGTACACAAGTGGTACTGTTGTACTTGTGAGACATTACTCTATAGAAATAGGAGTGTTTTAGAGCAGTTAAATGTATAATACTGATGATATCATCGGTGAAAGGGCAGTTTATTTATGAAAAATGCAAAAAACAAATATATAAATGCTAAGTTTGGCCAGGGTTTGTGATTAAGTGGTGACTAAAAAAGACTGTACATACCTCATTTTGAATACCCTGGGTTGCCTATTTTTACAAATGGTATGCCAAGATGGAGTTCATTTTCATTCCTGGGCTACCATATTGTCTCAAAGGCAACATAAACCCAGCAAATCAATCTGGCAAATTTCAATGGAAAATGGGAAAGCTCTATATTTGACCCCTGTAAGTTTCCAAAAACTCATAAAACCTGTACATTGGAGGTACTCGTGAGACATTGATAAATACAAATATGTGTATTTTATTGCAGTAAAATCTAACAGTATTATGACATTAACAGTTAAAATGTCATACAGAACTTGAAAAATACATTTTCTTAATTTCTCACACTTTTTTAGATTTTATTCACATTCATTTATGTTTCATATATGAATAGTTGATGTGAAATGAAAGCCCTGTTTTTCCTGAACAAAATTATATATAATACGTGTGGGTGCCCTTAATATGCAAGAGGTTGAACAACATATAGCGCAAATTACAAGTTTTGTTTACATTTGTTTTGATCACAACTTGTACAATTGGCTCCGTGCTTAAGGGGTTAACAGCAATGTACAGTGTATTAATTTAACAAATGTAGTACACCAACATTTGCATCAAAGTATAAATAAAATACCAAATAACGGTGCTTCACTAAATATCATAGGATAACATAGTGATCAACTGAATAATAAATGCAAGCCCTGTAATGCAGGTATGGATCAACTGAAGAACCAGTATACACAGCAAGTATAGCAAATGTAGATCAACTGCACAATCCACAGAAATCCTCCAGTTCAGGTATAGATCAAATAAACACATGGCAACAAAGTAGTGAATGTATAGATCAACTGAATAAGACATTAAACCCTTGTATTTGCAGGTATAGAGTAAATAAATAACACATGGCAACATAGCAGTGCTGGTATAGAGCAACTGAACAACATTAAAATCGCATGCAAACAGGCCCGGACTGGCCATCGGGCACACCGGGCAAATGCCCGGTGGGCCGCGGTGGCTGTGGGGAGAGTTCACAGGATCTCTCCTGCCGGACTTTGCAGGGCCGGCGCTATCTGAACGCCGGCCCTGCAGTAGTCTACAGCGGGCCGGTGGGGAGATCAGAGATCTCCCCACCGGCCCACATAGAGAATACTGCGGCCGCCGGGGGAGAGAGGGAGGGAGCCAGCCTGCCAGGAGAGGAACCCCGGCGGAGCTTTAACTAACAGCTCCGCCGGGTTCCTCTCGCGAGATTCGGAGCGTTACCATGGCAACGCTCCGGGTCTCGCGAGAGTGAACTCTAGCCCAACAGGCTAGAGTTCACTCACCACTTGGACCACCAGGGATGGATGGCGGCAGGAGTAGCAGAATCCCCCCTCCCAGGCATAAGGTAAGCAGGGAGGGGGGATATAATCAGGGCACAGCAGGGCACATAACACTCCCAGCACCCTCACTCACACACACACACTGCACCCCTGACACTCACACACACACACTGCACCCCTGACACTCACAGCACCCTCACACACACACTGCACCCCTGACACTCACAGCACCCTCACACACACACTGCACCCCTGACACTCACAGCACCCTCACACACACACTGCACCCCTGACACTCACAGCACACACACTGCACCCTTGACACTCACAGCACCCTCACACACACACACTGCACCCCTGACACGCACTGCACCCCTGACACTCACAGCAGCACCCTCACTCACACACTACACGTCTGACACTCACAGCACACACAAAATGCACCCCTAACACTCACAGCACCCTCACACACACACATTGCACCCCTGACACGCACAGCACACACACTGCACCCCTGACACTCACAGCACCCTCACACACACACTGCACCCCTGACACGCACATCACACACCCTCACTTACACACACTGCACCCCTGACACTCACAGCTTCCTCACATGCATACACTGCACCCTCACACACAGCTTCCTCACATGCACATAGCACCCTCATGCAAACACAGCACCCACTCACACACAGCACACACACACTGCACCCATCACACACACAGCACCCTTACCCACATAGCACCCTCACGCAAACACAGCACCCATCACTCACACACACACTGCACCCCTCTCTCACACACACTACACCCCTTATACACACACACACACACACACAGAGCACCCTCACACACACTGCGCAATATGCTTTCCTGGCATTTTTGTCTCCTGGTATCCCAACTATGGAGACACCAGAGACAAATTTCAAGCAAACACAGTGCAAGCATGTTATTAAATTTGCTTGCGCTGTGCAGAACAAATACAGGGTATTTTTCAGCAGAGCTCTGCGCATGGTCTACCCTGGAAGAGCATTGAACCAACATGCTCACTTTGTGATGGGGCGTGCTTGTCATTGGTGATGACAAAACACACCCTATCTGGTCCCGCCCCCTTTTTAGTGGGCCGCTGTAATTAAAAAATGCCCGGGCCGAATTTTCTTCCCAGTCCGGCCCTGCATGCAAACACAGCATTGAAGGCATATATCAAATAAATAATGCATGAAAATTACAGGCATATGTTGTACACTCCAAAGGCTGGACCTGTCTGTGCTTACTAAAATGCATGTTTGAGCAACTGCAACAAACAATCCCTATAATTTCTTAGAAGATTGTAGTAAAGGTAGAAATGTGACCCAGTAAACTGCACTTTTAAGAGATGAAGAATCCAACTTTAAAATAAGCTTTATTATAAAAACACAAATCTATAAATCACTAGGTCTGCAAAAACCCACTTGAATATTAGAAATAATAAATAAAAGACAGCACATTGAATGAACTAATGAACCTAATATAATAGTATATAATGGTACAAATAATTAAAGGCATAAAACCTTGACAATTAAACCTCCCACAGTCTCTGTATGGTACCCTCTAGACACTTTCAGGCACATTCACAATTTGCCACCTCCACCTCCTTCTAATTCTTCTTTTACAAAACTCTTGCTCCCCTTCTACAAAAATCATGACCACTTTTTACAAAATCCCTGCTCCCCTTCTAAAAAATCCTTGCCCCCACTTTTTAACATTAATGGAATGTTAAGGAGAAAAGGGGGGGGGGGAGAGGGAAAAGAGATAGAGGAAGAAAGAGGAAAAGAGAACAGAGAAAGAGAGGAAAGAAAAAGGGAGAAAAGAAAGTGTAATCTGACCAGAAATTTTCTTGTATTGATTAATTTTCAATAAATTTCAAAGACGTTTAATCACACAGCAAAAGATCTATTCTAGAGTTTGAATGAACGAGTGAGATATACTTCTAGAGGGTGTTGAATTGGTAAACTCACTCTCACTTTCTCTTTCTCTCACTTTCTCTTTCTCTCACTTTCACTCTCTCTCGCTCACATACTCACTTACTCACTCACTTTCACTCCCATCCACACTCTCTCTCTCTCACTCACATTAACTTTCACTCTCTCACTTTTTAGTTACTCACTCTTACACTCACTTACTCTAATTTTCTCTCTCTCACTTCAGTCACTTTCACTCTCACTCACTTTTACTCTCTCTCACTCACTTTTACTCTCACTCACCCACTCACTCACTCACTCTCACTTACTCACTCTCACTCACTCACTTACTCACTTTTACTCTCACTCTGTCTTACTCATTTTCACTTTCACTCACTTTCACTCATTCACACTTTCATTTACTTACTCATTCACTCACTCTCACTTACTCTCTCACTCACACTCACTTTCACTCTCTCTCTCTCACTTTAACTCTCACTTACTTTAATTCTCTCACTCTCTCACTTTCAGCTACTCACTCTCTCACTCACACTCTTACTCACTCACTCACTCACTCACTCACTTTTACTATCACTCTGTCTCACTCACTTTCACTTTCACTTTCACTCATTTACACTCTCATTTACTTACTCACTCACTCTCTCTCACTCACTCTCACTTACTCTCTCACTCACACTCACTTTCACTCTCTCTCTCTCACTTTCACTTTTACTTTCTCTCTCACTTACTCACTCTCACTTTCACTCTCCCACATACTCACTCTCTCTCTTACTCACACTCACTTTCACTCTCTCATTCTATCCATCACTCATTCTCACTCACTTTCACTCTCTCTTACACTCACTCTCACTCATTTTTAAAATAAGTTTACATACGGTTTGGATCCTCCTGCTGTGTCTCTTGTCTTCTTCCTTCAGCTTGTCAGCCAGAGCCGATGCTGTGTGTGCAGGAGATCTTATCTCCCATATTGTCGGCTCTGACTGCTGACAGCCTCCGAGGTTACTACAGGACACAGGAGGCGTGTTCACAGTGCCTCTTGTCTCCTGATAGTACATTTGATGTCTTCAGCTAAGCATGAAGACATCAAATGTTAGTCCTGCACATCAGGCAGGACTTAACTCGGAAGTCCATTTGGTGGCCGTCTGAGTGACTGCTACTGTAGGTGTTCCTAGGTTCTAAGGTACACACTGTATTTTCAGAGAAAACACAGTGTTTACATGAAAAAGCCTACAGGGAGCTATTGTACTCACCTGATTAAACCCATTAAGCTAAAGTTGTTCAGGTGACTATATTGTCACTGTAATTTAGCTGACCCACCCTCTATGCATCATGTTATCCATATGGCAACAGTAAGTTTGTCATAATGGCAGATCTGGCATACCAGGAAGCAGCATAGGATGTTCCACCCTTTCTAGAAGCATCTCCCAGAACATCTAAAATAGCATTGCAATCTCTCCCTACAATGATATCTCCGTGGTGGAAGTAGCTTTCAATAGAAGATGCATCTAAAATAAAATCTGATCCACTGATGTTCCATAAACATAACATAGTTACATAGTTACATACCTGAAAAGAGACTTGCGTCCATCAAATTCAGCCTTGCTCACATTTGTTTTTTGCTGTTGTTCCAAAAGAAGGCAAAAAAAACCCCAGTTTCAAGCACTTCCAATTTTGCAACAAAGTAGGAAAAAAAATCATTCTTGACCCCAGAATGGCAGTCAGATTAATCCTTGGATTAAGCAGCTATTACCCTACATTGAAAAATTATATAATTGAATATTATGTTTTTGCAAGTATGCATCTAGTTGCTGTTTGAACATATGTATGGACTCTGATAAAACCACTTTTTCAGGCAGAGAGTTCCACATCCTTATTTTGCCTTAGACAAAATCTTCTTTCTTCCAGTCTAAACGCATGACCTCGTGTCCTATGTAAAGTCCGGTTTGTGACTTTCCACATAATGGTTTGTATTGGCCCCGAATATATTTGTATAATGTTATCATATCCCCTCTCAGGCAACGTTTTTCTAAACTAAAGAGGTTTAAATTTGTTAACCTTTCTTCATAGCTGATATGTTCCATTCCTTTTATTAATTTTGTAGTCTGCCATTTTTTCTAGTGCTGACTAGGGGTCCCCAAACCCCTAGTCACCCCCCTCCCAAAAAAAATGTACCTCTACCTACCCCCCTCACCTGTAGTACCTGTAAAAAAAATAAAACTTACTATTTGATGTCTTCTTTCGTCTAAAATCTTTTTTTTTCAGCCCCATAAAAGGCCAAATAAAAATCCATAATGACCGTCGCAATAAAAAAAACAGAGCGCAAAAAATAATAATCCATCTTCACCCATGGAGGGCTCCGTGCAGACTGAGCTCTGCAGGGCGGAGGACTTCAGCCAAGGACTTTATAACATCACCTTAACTATCTCAGTTAGGTAACACCACCAAGATGTCATAGCTAGTTTAGCATGTTAGACTAGTAACACATGCATCTGAACAAAAAGCTTTGAAAAATAACTGTTTACAGAGTTTAACAGAAAGAAATCAGAAATATTGCCTGTGAACATAGTATCTCATAATCGCTAGCCTATAGGAATAAGAAAGCAAAATTTTCAAGTGTTACTTCAAAACTAGTTGTTAATGGACCTGTTTGCTATAAATGAGTTTTTTGTTTTGTTTTACAAATTTAGTTCCCAAAAGTAAACTAGTTGCAGCAGCCAACCATTAGTATGTTACACTCTGAAACTTGCCAGCTATACCCAGAAATCAAATATTAAGGTAACTTTATACAGTTATTTAAAATAGAAAAATCACACACAGGAGGATACATAGGTTAGCATCATTTTACTCGGGCCTTCATATTCCACACAGAGCAAATCCAAGGAAACATGGACAGTTCTTCAGGTGGGCCCTAGCATGCTGCCATTCTCTCCTTATCCTAGGAATAGCAGTGTAGCCATAGCTATGGCCGCCTGCTCCACTGGAAAATAAGACAGACCTTCTTCCACTTTGTTGACCACATGCGTTACTACTTTCTTTTGAATTAACAACTTGGTGGGTAAGTTGTAGTTAGTTCTGGCTATCTTGAGGGTTTATGTGACAGAAGAGAACTAACCAATGTTGATGGTGATAAATTGGTGTAGAGCTGAATCTTGGCAAGCCTGTCAAGTAGCTCAGACTGACCTCAGTAGCCTCTCTTTTATGTAAAAAAGTGAATCCTAACAAGAACATATCTGATTGTAGAGGGGGGCAAATGTCTAGCCAGCAGCAAATGATACCCAGACAAACATCGCTTAGGTCAACCAAGGGCAGCAGGGCATGGAGAAAGGATTGCAAAACAATCATATAGAATACATATTTTTAAAAAACAGAAAGTGCTAGTAAGTGCTACAGTACTAAAAATGTAA